GATTTATGATCAGTGAAAGGCCAAATCTTTACCATTTAGATCAAGCTTAGTTAAAGGTACAGTCATTAAATTCATATGGAAACATCATTTAATAAAAATGTTATATTATAGCAGTTTGTTTTTACAAGTCAAGCATCTTAAATACAATAAAACTGTAACCACCTGCTCATCATCTGGTCTTATTTCTACTTAGCTTTACTCCAACAGGTCAGACTGTGAAAATCATGTTCGGTATAAGAACCTGTGCTGGTGATAAACATTTGGATAACATTTTGGAGTATTTGTCTTTGTCGTCATGTTTACCCACTCACAACTTCTTGTGGCACAAATCAAAGCACTGAAGTGTGCTAATGGTTTAAAAACATGGCTAATAATAACGTATGCAGTGGCTTGAGGTTTAAAAAAGAGCCATTATTAGCTGGGCAGCGACACACAGTGGGAGATGTTAGTGAACAGACTATTTGACTGGTTCATTTCCACCTTTTTGCTTGGACAATCCAGAATAACATAATTCTCTTTTTCTTGTTTACTCCCACAGCATCATCTGAGGCACTAGTGTAGTCATCCTTGTCCAGAAAGAAGCACATACTGTACACTAATGTCCCCGCCCCTCCCCCTCTGTGCCCCATTCTTTTCACTATAAACTGTGGGAAATAGATCAGCTAAAGAGCCTCTTAATGGCTATGGCAGTGATAGATGAGAGAAGATAGCTGTGAAGGGAGGATGTACTAATTTAATCACACAAATCAATATAATGCATGTAATGGAGATGACAGGATATGATACACAGTGCCATAAAGTACTCTTATCTCTCAGAATGATGTCTGGGGTCACTCTCTGAAGCAAAGCTGCAGCTCATCTACAGGAATTAAATCGTTTTTCTGACTACTTCATAGTATTTGAAGTAGATGATAGATTTAATGTTACTTCTTCATATAAACCCTTTTCAGATGTATTTATACATGTGACTTATAAATGTGACCAGTGGTAGCTGGAGGATGTTCTTTTTGCAGTATGTTAGAGGCTAGTTTTTCACGTAAAGGAGACAATGTAGACAGAATGTGGGTGTAAATACCAGTGGTGGAAAGTAACTAAGTATATTTACTTATGTACAATATTGAGGTATCTGTACTTGAATATATGTTGTGGTACTGCATCTATATATTGTGTTAATAAACTCCTCAGTTCCTGTGTGCTTGTTAGGATTTAACAAATCTATATTGAAGTCATCACATATGAACATTAATTTATGACTTATTGTCAAGTAATTTTCTTCCATCCAGTCATTAAATTTTTCTATGCTGGCTCCAGGTGCTCTATAAATACAGCTTATTACAACATTTTTCTTTTTTTCCACGAGTATTTCTACAGTCACACACTCCAGCAAATTATCCACCACCCTTGACATTTTCTCCACTTTCTTATAACAAAAGTTTTTATCAATGTACAAGGCCACACCACCTCCCATCTTATTCTCTCTGTTTGTGCATATCAAGTCATAGCCATCAAGGTCAAAATCCATTCCCCTTACATTATTCATCCAAGTTTCAGAAATAGCAATTATATTAAAAGAATGTGTCAGACTACTAAGATAATACTTTGACTTTGGCTTTAGAGGCACATATTGTACTTTTCACTCCATTACATTTGTTTTAAAACTTTAGGTGCTTGTTACTTTTCAGAACCAGATTTTACATGCTTTACATGTCCACAAACAAAATCCAGTCAGCAAACTATCAGTACTGCACTACAAACCATACTCATCTTGACATGGCCTTTAGTTGTGTAAGGCTTAAAATCAAACCTTTCACAAGATGTGAAAGCAAATCTCACAGCCTTGAGGAAATGGTGCACTCATACGTTTCAGCACTAAAAGAATCAGCCGTTAAGATAAATAGATCCTTCTTAATCCACTCTGATACTTCTGGCCTGAGAAAACATTTGACAGATATTGACATTTATTTCAAAAGCATCTTCAAACCAGATTAAACTGATTTTGACACTATCTACATCAGCTAATTTGATATTTCCCCATTTATTTTAAGGAGGACAAGTCTGTGAGACTAAATGCTCACTTTTGCAGTCCTCCTCTCACTATGTGTGCTTCTTCCCAGTATTCTTCCTCTTCAGAGCCAGTATCCAGGCAGGGAGGGCATGTCGGCGTGTTAGGGCCACGTCCTCAACCGCTGCTTGCTCACACTCCTGCTCTATCACAGAGTCCTCCTCTGAGCCTATGTCCTCCTCTGAGTCTGAAATACCCAGCTCCAGCTCCAGGGGTTCTATGATTGCTACCTCCTCTGAAAAACGAACCCGGCGGTTGTCCTCAACTCGCCTCTGATCCAAGATGACAGAGAAAAGATAGAAGTACTTTATAAAATCTCCTTTTGATTTTCAAAACTTAGAACTATATAATTGTTCCCTAATTATATGGATGTTTGTTAAATCTATACATTTCTAGTTCCTTATATTTATTTGCAAGTTATTTTAAATTGTATTTTAATGCACTACACTTTCATCTGAACATGAAAAACTGAGGCAAACAAATTCAACATATATGAAATTTTAAAATAATGAATGAATATTTACATGGGCTTGAAGGGACCCATTCTTCCTTGTAACTTTACCAAATTATATAGCAGGAACATTATATATACAGGAAATGTATTTGAAGAATTCAAAAACAAACTATTTGTGCAGACAAAGATCTTAGAAGATACTCACTCTCATTTGCTACCAGAAGGAGGCACTGGGATGTAAAATGTCTTACCCTTTTTGTTTCTGTTTCCACTGAGTACTCTGAATCCTGAGATATGAGGACACTCCGGGGTACAGGAGCACAAGGATTAAAAAAGGATGGAGAGAGGGGCATAGGAGAAGGATTTAGGGTGTATAGAGGGATGACCTCATCATGTCGTGACTCTCCTGTTTCATCCATCACATGGCTGCTGGTTATGCTCAGTGATCCCTCTGTAAAATGAGAGACAAAACTTCCATTTCTAAAGAGCATAAGTTCAGACATCAACTACAGCTAACAACCTCTAAGCTCTTTCAACTCTAATGCCTGAAATAGGTGCGTATGCAGAGTATGAAGTTGTTCTGACCTCTTTGTGCCTCTTTCCTATCACTTTCCTCTGTCTGAAGCCTCTTGTTTCGTCTCCCAGCTGACCGATGTTGTCTCTTTCTGCTGAGGGCCTGGCTCTTCAGCACTGACATGTAAAGAATATCGGCAGGCTGCAATTGATAACATATTACAGGGTGATCAACTCAAAAGTGATAGTAAGAATTCATACAAAAAAGGCAGAGGTTGTTTTCTTGTTTTGTATAATATTATATCACTCATCACTAAAAAAAAGACATTGGAAGAACATTGTTTTGATAATTTCCATGAAGATTAAAAAAAATAATCAGTGATACCAAACCTTTAAAGAGGGCGGAGGACTAAGAACACTCTCTCCAGACTGCACATCTGATTGGTTACAGCCATCTTCCATTGGCTCTAACTGATCAGCTTCTCTGACATACTGTTGTTTTCCTTCTGAGACATCCATACTGGCAGGTTGGAAAGCATTGGCTGATACTGGCGCCATGCCGAAATTTGAAACAGGTGACGCCTCTGACTGGTTAGGGTGTAGGAACTCAGCCCACTCTTGACCAGTGACGATTTCCTCCAGGAGACTGAATGACCCTAGGCCAAACTCAGAGTCACTATATGACCTGCCACAAAAAAAAGGATTCTTATTGTAAACAAATTACAGGAAAAGACTAACCCAACAAAGAACTGGGGCTAATAACAACAGCTGTGAGTAGAACAAAAGCCTGATCTTGTTTCTTTGTGCCACAGATCTCCATGGTTACCCAGAACATATTAGAAATATTCCATAGCAGTGGTTCCCAGCCTTTTATTCCATTCCATTTATAGTTTCTAGTTAACTTAGCAAATTTGAAAAAATCCATTGTAATAGATATTTAAACTATCCAGCTCACCAACACCTACAGCAACATCAGTGATAATACAGTATATGGCACTGAAAAGGGCCACTCTGCGTTCAGAATACTTTTGATTAGATTTTGAATTCAATACTTCTAATATAGCATTTCTACACTATAGTATAACTACCTTTATTTAAGTAAAGGATCTGAATACTTCTTCCACCAATGATCTCATTGATAGTTCTACCTGTCTGATGCTGTCAGCGACAGGGGGTGTGTTTAGCAAATCAGAGGACATGTGTCAAACTAATCACAGCTTTGGTTTAATACAGAACAGAAATACCTCACATATCTTCAACTTGAATGCAAGAACTCCTAGCTTGCATCAGTTCTTATACATTATTAGAACAGTTTGACAGTTGATTACCTGAAACGTCCCTCGAGAGTGCTGTTGTCTGTGTGTGCAGGAGGGATTTTACTGGGATCACTGTTGTCTAGTGCAGAGAGGGTCTCCTGTGCCTCCTTACTGAATGTGTTTTCAGCTGTCAGTAGCTGGTTTTGAGGTGAAGTCTGTAAAGTAAAGAAGTTGCAGTTTCACTTTAAGATGTTTAGCTTTTACTTCTGACAATAGAAAATAAGTATAATTTAAAATATGCACTATTTACCTCAGGTACTTGTTGACTCTTCTGGTACATTATCGCTCCTTCTTTTCCCTTTTTACTCCCTGACCTGTCCCTCCATCTCTCCCTAATCTTCTGTGTCCATCTTCTCGTTTTATTCTCAGATGATCGTTGTCTTCTAGAGTTACTGTTTGTTGTTTTTTGGCTACTTGCAACAAATTGTATGCCTGTATTTTGTGCCAGATCTCCATTTCCCATATGCAGCATTTTATTCTCTTGACTTCCTGTGTCAAGATTTACATCTGTGCACTTCAAGGACCACATGTAGACTTTGGATTTAAAAGCCTCATTCTGCTCCTGATTCTGTCCCATGCTTGTTAGAGTAACTCTAGGAACTGGATTTGTCATTGCAGAGTTGCCAAAACTCACCCTTTCCATATCAGTCCTATAAAAGGAAGTACTGTCAGCATCCTTAAGTGATTTAGCAGGAAAAAGCCACCCTGTTCCTGTTGGAGCGATCCCAGGTGATGTGACCTGTCCCAGTACCCCGTTCGGACTTGTGTCATCATCACTTTTGTGTTTCTGGGAAGGGAAGGAAATGAGATGCTCATCCACTTCACAGCCATGGCCTCGTTGCGGTATTTCCCCATCTTTGCCTGCAGCAGAGATCCCAAAATCTTTTGAAGGGATACCATTAGTACCAAACGCAATGCTATTTTCCGGACCATTGTTTATTTGCTGAAGGTTGGAGGCTCCTATTCCTCCATCTTGTCCCCATGTGGAAGCAGCTGGTGTGTGCAGGAGTGCCTGTCCCTCTCTTCCTGGCTGGAGCTTCAGTCTCTGCAGCATGGACTGCAGCAAGGACTGAGTATCTGTTGAGTTATGTGGCTGAGACATCTAGGATCAAAACTGCCAGGTATCAAATCCAGATGTCACAGAATAGCATGTCAACAGTGAGTGCAAGTAAACACTACAAAATAAACAGGGTTAGAGTCCACACGGTCTTATGTTATGTGACTTATAAAGCAACTGGAGAGCATGAGAGGAGAAAATATTTGTGTAAAAATCGCACCACCTCTTTGTCCAACTTTTGTTGTTAAGGCTCCTGTTGTGGTTGTTTCTTAGTTTTTATCATGTTCCAATATTTGTCCATTATCCCTTTAACAGTTTCTCACCACAAATCTAAAGACAAATCCATCTCTTAAGGTTTAACGTCCTCAACTATGACTCTTCTTTTTCTGGGTGGGCTGCTGCTTCTCAGAGATGTTTCGTTGTCAATCTGCTGCCATTTTTTCAGGATCTTCAAAAGTTTCTGCATAAGACTCCTTTTTTTGTGTTGTTTTCAGAACAGTTCCAGATTTCTGTCCTCTGGTATCCTTTCAGAGTTTCTTTCTTTCATCAAATGTCTGTGGTTTCAGCACAGGAAGATCATTTAGTCACACCTCTTCCCCAGCAGCCATTTATGTCACTGGTGACGAGACGTTGCATGACAGAACAGTTTTCCTCAGTTCTGAAGCAGAACAACAAGAAAGACCAGTGAGGTGAGATAATTGCGCACTGACTCTCCCTCTCCCTGACTCTCCCTTTCCCTGTGTCTCTGAGCCCATCTATTTGCCCTCCCTTCCTTCCAAATTCACTCCCTGACTTACTAACATGTGCGCACACACACACACACACACACACACACACACACACACACACCTTCTCCCTACTGTGATCCTTGAGTGATAATTACAGGGTGTTTTGTGAGACCCACTGCTATTTATGTGTCTTCAAATGAAAGAAATAAGCAAGAGAGAAAACAGATTTGTAGAATTTCCATTTCCATATGAAGTATTGGTGGAGGAGCGAGCCTATTCAGATCTTTTAATAAAAGTAGCAAGCAGCCGATATGGAGGTGATTTAATCTTGTATAATCTGTTAAACAGTTTGATGATTTTTAAAATGATGTTTAGTAGCAGAAGCATTGTCTTGAAGGCAAAGAGTTAAGGGGCCCATGGGCCATAACTTCTGCCTAACCATTAACTTTTGTTTAAAATTGGAATGTCACTCAAAAGACCACAAAGAAATGCATAATGACCACAGAAGAGACAACATCTGTAGATGTGCACCTGTAGATGTTTTGTGTCTCTCTCAGTCTGTGGGTCTTGTTCCTATGAGGGGGTGAGGGACCTGGCTCCAGACAACAAGATGGCAGACTGGCAACCTCAGCTGGAAGTGTGGACTAGTAACCTCGGCCAAAAGTGTTCAACATCGGGCAGAAGTTGAGCTGTTTTTAGGCGGCTACACTGCCTTAATACGTAGAAGTCCAAACTTCTGGCCAAGGTTACCAGTCCAAATTTCTGATTAAGGTTTCCTGTCTGCCATCTTGTTGTCTGCAGCCTGTTTTTTGTTTTGCAACTTTATTTGAATGCTGTACATACAAACATATGTAAGGAATAATAAAGAATAACATGATATAAATTAACTTTGCAATTTTAACTAGAATTTTAATATTTTATTGTACTTTTGAATAAACATATAAGAAATGAACACCCAAATAAAATAAAATAAAGCCAGGGGTGAGTAACTTCAAAACAAACAGGGGCATTATTAAATAAAAACATCCACAGACCTGCATACAGTATGCTGCCTATTTTGATTGCTTACTTATTTATACTGTCCGAGACAGTAGAGATATAACTCTTAACTTTATTGACCAGGGCAGGAAAGAAGGGTTTGCATTTAGAAAAGTTATACTTGTGAATATGAAATTTTGCCATAATCAGAATGAAACTGATATGGTATAAATGTTTATAATCATTCCTGTTGTCATTTTCCCATTTCAGCAAGAGGGTATGGTGAATTTTAGAGGTGACAAAGGTAGATACATCTACTATATTAACAATTCCAGAACAGCAGTCTCAGTGGAAGAGTTACAGAAAACACAGTTTAATCTAATCTCATAAAATATTGGCTAGAGGGGAAGGATATTTCTCTTGTTTGATTATTGATCATATATTTATGAGGTAATGACCATAGCTTTTCCCAGCATGAAACAACATATGGTTCAGAAATCAGATCTTACTGAAAAAACATCCAAATTGCTTGATATTTCCTTTTTTGTATGTTTTTCCTACAGATGGGTTGGCTGGGTCCAATAGAGGAGAATCATCATATGCAATGTTATCTTTGTTCTTAAAAAACATTGTCAACCCAGAAGGAATTGTTCCAAAAACCACTGAGTATTCTTTCGGTGTAAAAGGAAGATTAAATTTCTTCATAGATTCCTGTCAATAGAAGACCATGGCTGTTGAAAAGCTGTCCAACCAATATGATATTGTTTTCAAACCAATACTGAAAAAAACAAGGACCTATTCTTGTACAGTATATAACAATTGTTCCAGATAAGCATTTGTTATAGGAGAAATTGTGTTTATAGTTGAGTGCCCATGACATGTTACTGGAGTTTATCGACACTGTAAAGGCAGAGTAAAGTAAACTTTAACCATCCAATCTTAGAGAAAATGTGATGAGGCATGGGATTTTAAATATGACTTTAACTAAATAATTTTAAAAGTGTGATTTAAGGTGGTAAATTCCAAAAGGTTGAGACCACCATTTTCATATGTACCAAATCAGAATTTTTTAAGATATTAAAATAAAATTATGGTTGACAAAAGCCTTATAAAAGTCCAGAAAGAGAATACAATTCTCATCTGCAATTAGGTGAGAATAATCTAAGTTGTCTAAGACTAATCATATATACCTAGAAATACATCTGTTTTACATAAAACCTGGCTGTGTTGCACTAATAATAGAATCCAGAACAGCTTTAATTCTATTGGCAAATATTGAGACCAGGACTTTATAATTATTATTAAGCAAGCATATGGGTTGCCAGTTTTCAATGCTACGAAGATCTGTTTTGGGCTTAGGAATCAATGTTAGTACACCTTGATGCATACTGGGAGTGAGAGATCCATTCTTGATATTTTCTGTGTACATTTATGTAAAAAAATTGTAAACTCTCCAGTTAATATATCTGTGCCTGACACATTTGTTGGATTTAAAATTATCAATGCTCATTCACACACATTTCTCTTTCAGAATTGTAAATATTAGCAGTATTTATTAAAGACTTACAGCCAGGTACTCTTGGGCTTGGCTCATTGTCCTGTTGTTTGATAACCCACATTTGCAAAGTAAAGGTTAAAAAAAATAATACACAGCCTGTCTCTGAAATACCATTGACTGAAAGTATAAGGTGCTATAAGTAATCTACTTGAATAAATGTATTTATTCAAATCAATCAATCAAATCAAATTGTTAATGGTGTATTAAATCCATTTGTCCTCTGCAACAGTCATACTCTAATGTAAAAATGTTTTTTTTAATTATAAACTAATAAAAACCGAAAGTCAATTGCGCATGCGTACGGTCAACCGCGCCCCCTTGAGCTCTTGTTTGTCTGATTGGTCTACAGGGCGGAAGCAGGTAATGGCGGCGTAAACAACGATAATAGTTCCAAGATAGTGCTGAGTCGATTTGCTTTCGAATATAAAGCTGTACCTAAATGGAGCATAATATCGACACTAAGAGGACTTCTACTCGGTGTGAAAGCTATTTAAATCCCAGTGCTTCACTTCTTGGTGGAGTTTAGTCGCTAGTTTAGACTAGCTTTAGCAGTTGTTGCTAATATAACGGAAAAGTAAGATCGAGTCACTTTGCAAATATGGACTGCGTCGTCACGGGAGGAAACGTAAAAGGTAGCAAACATTTCTTACTTTTTCAACCATATCTTTAACTAGAATATCGCTATATTATAATAACTGTCTGTTAATAGTAATAATTCTCTGTACCGTCCAGTGCTGGCCAAAGCCGTCCACTCTCTGTCAAGGATCGGTGATGACCTGTACGTGGAGCCTCAGAAAGATGGAGTGAGCTGATCTGATGCTTTCACATACAGCAACACTTCCTCCTGCCTGCCATGCATGTAACCATCTTCCTGTTGTGCATACTTTGCGTCAATGAATACTGTTGATTAGTTTTTTTCTCACTCTCTTGTAGCTGGCCCTGCGGTCTGTGAACTCTTCTCGGTCTGCATATGCTTGTTTCCTGTTCGCGCCACTCTTTTTCAGCAGGTGCAGACTGCGTTCTTCTGTATACATGGCACTGTGATGTGTTTTAACACTTTCAAGAGGTTTAAGTCAACTTCTCCTCCCATTTCTTGTGCAGGTACACCATCCCTAGTTCGTATGCCTTCCGCTGCAAGATGGCAATAAAGGTGTGCTCAAAGAAAAGTATAAGCTATAGTTCCCTTAATGCTTTATACATGTTATATCTCATGTTCAGTACTTTACAATAGACTGTAGTCATCTGTTTCAGTGGCACGACCCTGTTGTCTTTGTGCAGAATTTGCAAAACTTCTAGGTTTTCTTGCTTTAAAAGTTGTAGATGGCAGTAATTTCACAGGGTAGAGCATTTGTTCTAGTGGAATCGTATGTTTTTAGAGATTAAAGTAAGGTGCATACATATCTAAAATGACCTTAATTGTGGATAAAAAGTTGTTTTTGTAGCAGCTTCAGTGTAGAATTTTAGCCTATTTGGTGTGATACCTGAATATTTCAGACCAAACTAAATAGTCATGGGCCTTTCCCTTTGTGTACAGAGTGTACAGGCCGTGTTTAGGTCTCTGGTATCTCTGGAGAAGACAGTGGAAAAGTGTCGCATTGAATTGGATGATCAGAAGAACCGCCTCACCTTCACCCTGCACTGCAAGCATGGTATCAGTGTTTTGCTTCCTACTCAGATGGTTTACAATCATCATATGTCAAATGTCACTTATATGTTTTAGTAGCATATCATGCATTCATCTCATTGTGTTCTATGAGCAATTGTCACTATTTTCTCTGCAGGCCTCCTGAAGACACATAACCTGTCTTTCCAGGACAGTGAAAGCTTACAGGCAGTGTTTGATAAGGACAGCTGTGGCAATGTATTCAGGGCCCAACCCAGGTCTCTGACACCTTTCTACATTCTTCACTGTAAAACTAACAGAGTACTGACAGTTTGTGTTTCTCTTTCTGTCTGGTCGCCCTCTGTGTAATTTTTTTGCTGGTCTGCAAATGAAGTGATATGCCTGAAGTAGTAGTTTCTTCCTTTCCTTCTTTCTGTCCTCCCTCTCTAGATGCTCACGCTCTTTTTGTGTTCCCTCACTCTCAGGCTGCTGGTGGACACAGTTGTGCACTTCCCTCCGTCTCTGGAAGAGGTGACTGTGTCAGTGAGTGATGATCGGATGTGGGTCAGGAACCATGTGGAAGATGAAGCAGGTGGCTGTTTTTTTTTTTTTTTTTAACCCAGCAGTTACAAATTTGTAAATGTTTATGAAGTCATAACACAGTTTGTTTATACAAATCTTAGAAAGGATATTCAAGTAACTTAGAATAAAGAACATTGTTAAATCATTGTACTGTGAAATCTTGGTTGTCCTTAGTCAGTAGAGGTAGTTTTTTCTAACTCTGCAAGTCATAGTGGTACGATACACTATTTAGGTTTTGAAACTTGTATGTGCGTTGCTCCTTAATTCATTCTTACTTTTCTTTCTGTTTTCCTCTCAGAGCAGTCTAAGGCCATGCTGACTGAGCTGTGTCTGGCTGCAGATGAGTTCGACCATTTTGCCGTCCAAGCTCAGAACAGGATCACCTTCTGTTTAAAGGAGCTACGGGTGAGACAGAGAACAGAGGCAGCAATTACAGAGCAAAAAGATTAGGAGGACTAGCCAGGAGAAAGGGCTGGGATTCTGATCAGACAGGGAGAGGAACCTTTTGGGGGCATAGTAGGAGGCAGCAGAAATACGTTGTGCTATGCTGATATCTTGCATGGATTTTCTTAGGAGGTATTTTAAGTCAGATATTGTCATTTCTCTTTCAGAGTTTGTTAGTGTTCGCAGAGTCCACTGGGCTCCCCATTTCTATGTACTTTGATGAGCCAGGCAGGTAAGCATACTTATGTACAGATGTAAGCTGATCATTTATGTTACTGTAATTTACTGACATTTACTGTGTGTGTGTGTGTGTGTGTGTGTGTGTGTGTGTGTCTGTGTCTGTGTCAGCCCTGTCGTGCTTTCTGTAACAGACAGTGTCCTGGAGGGAAACTTTGTGCTGGCCACGCTGTCTGATGACCCCAACCACTGTAAAGACAACAATAGACGGTAACATTCAAACAAAACTGAATAGGATCGAATTTTTATTTTTTTAAATTTTTTTTCTTGCCGGCCTGTTGTCAGTGAGTCACTGAAAAGGCCAGTGGTATAACAAAGTGAAATTAAAACTGCCATTTATTTAAGTGGTTTCTTTAGTGCTACTAGCAGTTAGGAAATACTCAGCATTTACTCAGCAAAGATGCCACGCCATCTGGTGGACAAGAGCATAACTGAGGACAACTATTTCAAATGCAACTCTAAACTGCCCGTGCAGGGTGCTGATCGCAAGCCCCAGGTGTTCTAACCAGCACATTTGTTCGTCTGTAGGGCAGGTAGTGTGTGCATAATCTAATTCAAGTTTGGCAGTAAAGTCCTGTCAGATTGATACAATCAGCAGTGTAGTCCTGTGCAGTCTATAATAAAATGAAGTGCACGGTTTTAAATTCGGCACATGTGATTCATTGGACAAGAATGAGGCCGAATTTTCAAAACATCACAGTCTTCACTTGTCATAAATGGAATCAGATAACAGACATGGTGGGTGTTCAGGTTTGTCTTGCCGCGAGCTGAAGTTGTGTGTGTCTGTATTTGTGTCTCTGTGCACCAGGGGGTGTGGCTTCTCAGCACGAAAAATGTAAAATCAACATTTCTTGCCTGACACCAGGACTACAGAAGCCATTCGGATAACTAGCAAACCCTCTGTGTCTCACAATGTAGTAACAAGTTGAGCAGACACTGTATTTTCTATTCTGGCTTAACTACCACTTTTATAATTTTTACTTTATCTATCACAATAAATGCTTTGGATGCTGCTTAGCAGAGATTAAGCAAATCTTGCACAATAACAAGTCATCATGGCGCGTCACATTTTCTATATAATGTTGACTGTGCAGTGCAGTTATGGAAAAATATTACTGAATGAATTTTTTGCATTCTGCTGTCACTCAGTCATTTTCTTAACTCTATACCTCATTCTTGTCATATTTCTGACTTGCACTCCTCCATTTCTCAGTACGTGCACACAGCCGCCACCTCCTCCTGATGACTTCATGAATGATGACATGGACTCCTACCTCATTGCCATGGATACCAGTATTGCACCAGTTCCCTCCACTACCGGTCCATCCACATCTCCATTAGTTGCTTCCACGTGCTCAAAGCAGCCTGCAGCAGTCAGTCACAGGTCAAGGAAACGCAATGAGGAGGAAAAAGGGAAGGAGGGAGATCGGACAGCCGATTTAAACAGACCGCCTGATAAGAAGGTGTGGTTTTGTTTTCACATTAATAAAAGTGGCATGTTTTGGGGGCTGGAGTGACGGGCTTTTTTTGTTTTGTTTTTTTTAGAAACACAAAATTAAATTGTGTACAATTTCATTTCTCCTGCTTGTGACACTCAGAGAGCATGGTTACAAACACTGCCTTGACATTCTGTAGCAAGACTATGTGCTTTTTAAGCACAAAGTCTCACATACAGTATTAACATACATTTTTCTCCTCCTAGCAGCTACATGCTCTTTAGCAGCCTTCTCAAACATAGTATGCTCTGCAAAGATCTTGTAGTCTTGCACAAAGATTCATGAAACCTAGAGCAGAATCCTTTTTTTTTAATCCCTGACTGTTGACATCAGAGTTCTTCTTATCTTAGACTAGCAATGTTGATTACAAGGTTACTACACTTTGAGGACGTCTGTGACTGAAACAAATTACGATACAATTACAATATTGAATGGAAACATGCTGCTGCTTTGCTCCTTCTCCATACATGCTTTCCTGTTGCACTCTTAGAAAATGCTAATATCCCATCTCAGACTTATTTTCAAGATGCTGCAGCTCCAAGTGTACCTCTTATGAGGTTATGATTGACATACAGTAGGTATTGACTTGTCTTGGGCCGTCCCAGATACTACAGCAGTAAAACTGCTCAAAAATGACAACCTGTTGTGACAGGCGTGAGTTTTGTCTTGGGCCATCCCAGATGCTACAGCAGTAAAACTGCTCAAACATGACAACCTGTTGTGACAGGCGTGAGTACGGTATCCTAAATTTATCTGATACAGGTAAATCAAAGTAAAAGTTGTGTAGTCTGCAGCACTCAATTGTCAAGTGACTGGATGTTACCTGTAGAAACATTTTGTCTAACTTTTCATGTCAGTTTAAATCCCTGTAATATTTTGCCCTCTCGTGTTCTCTCACAGTTCTGCTCCCTGTTCTTTGGATCGGTGCTTCCCCCGTCTCCTCAGATGAGTACTCAGCCAATAACACATCAGAATGTGTTGGCCAGTGACAGTGAAGATGACACTTGTATGGAGTGACAGTGGACTGATGGACGAGAGGACAGAGATGAACTGACCTGAAAGTGGGTGCATGTATGTGCACTTAGATTATTTCTGTTAAACCATGCTACAGTACCTGGAACACTTGGACCCTTGTTTTTACAAGTTTTGTACTGCAAGTGTTTTGTTTTGTTTTGTTTTGTTTTGTTTTGTTTTGTTTTTTTTACATGGACAGAAATTTGCAGAGGCCATCAGTACAGCACAAGTGTATTTCAGCTTTTTACTGGACCATATTGGTGGAAATCTGGGATTCTGTGAAACTACACATGAAGCACTTCTCGTTTATTTTTGTTTGGATTCTCTTTGGTTTTTAATCAAGAATCAGTGAAAAAGACCATCCAAATAAAACTGCTATTTTTCCAAGTATGTCAGCCTTATTTATGATTTATTTACATGTCAGAAGGTTAAAGTATGACGGATTTAGGGTGAGAGGAACGTCTTCCTCTCAAATTGATACCTCAATAGACAGAATCTGCAAGGCTGAGGTGTAGAGTACTCAGTTAAAGGTGCAGCAAAAATATGGCATTCACTAAATGTAAGCAATGCCCAGAAGTTGCTTATTATATAAAATGCAGCTGTTATCATAATGCAGGTGATTTCAGTGTCTTAAATGTCACTTCTTACTCTGCAGAAGATGATGATCCTAATGAAAAGCTTTAACCACAACCATGTCCTCCAGACCTCAGCCCTCCAGATACTATTGCAAATGTCTTGTCAGAAGTAATATTCAGCATAAGAAACAGAACATCTACGCGTCTGTGAGCCAGTCTTTGCAGATTGAGGTACATCATTGCTACTTTTTTCCTGATGCCCTTGAAAACTTTTCCCTCTTGTCTGTGGTTTCCTCCTTCCTTGCTCTCTCTCCTTCTCCAGCTCTTTTTCTTTTTTCTTCCTTGACTTCGCCTCCTCTTTCTCCCTTCTCTCCCTCTCCCTCCGCTGCCGCCTCCTTTCCCTCGAGCTCAGTTTCTCCTGCCCTTCCTCCTCAACCAGCATTCCCGTTCCATCACTGAAGTCCTGAATCAAGATTTTGGGGACTTGCATTTTCTGTGTCTCCTTTTCCTTTGCCTTTTTGGGCTGTTCTCTTTTCAGTCTGCGGAAGAGACCAAAACGTTTAGGGGGGGCCTGTGGCTGCTGCTGTGGCACATTCCCCTCTGTTATATCTGTGGACAGTGGTGGTTTGGCTTCTGAAGACTGAGTAACATTGGGAGGAGTTTGAGTTGGGTTTACAGCTCCAGGTTGGGGCTGTGATTCACTGTGTTTCATGTCTGGGTGATTAAGAATAGGTTGTGATTGGCTAGTTTTCTGTGGGGTAGTGAAGAGGTCTTCAGAGAGCCTACGCGCTAACCTGGACCCATGGGTGCTGGAAGACTTACGGACACAGAAATCACCTGAGGACCGGTTGCTGCAGTGCTCAAAGGCTTGTGTCAGAGTATTTGCCTCAGCCTGAATATGATCTTTGTTTCGGACCTGTGGGATGCTGACAGCATGTGGGCTGTCTGTCACGTTAGAAGTAGAAATGATGATGATTTCTTTTCCTACAGTCTTTGGTGGAATGTTTTCTGACCTTTCCTCCTCCACAGGACTTATGGCGACCTGGCTCGTCAGTTGTTCAGGTGCAAACTCATCAGAGGTTCTTGTTTCTACTGAACATGTCCTCACATCAGACTCGGCAGTGAGATTCTCTGCTTCAGCCTGTGTTGAAGCCCCCTCAGTGTGTGGAGGTGCTACCGTGTCAGGTTTTTCAGCTGGTGTTTCCTCTGCTTGTGTTTGATCATTGTCAGCCTGTGCCTCTGAGTGTGCAGTAAAAATTCTTTCTTCTTTTTCCTGTGTAGGTTCAGATGCTACTGTATCACAGTTTTTCTCTGAGTACTGAGCAAATGCTTCAGTGGACTCTGCCACTGTGCTGCATGCAGCTGGTATTCCAGGTGGAGTCTCTGTGTTGGCTGCTGTGTCACTGACTTCTTGTTGTTGGATGCATTCGGGTGAAGAAAGGATGAATGTTTCTGCTTTTATTGTCGTCTCTGTCTTTGAATTCATGTTTTGTTCTGAGTCTAATTTGACTATTTCAGCCTCCACTTCATCCCTCATGGCTGCTTCTTCCTGTTTCTCTGTCAGTACATCAGTATCTGTCTCTGTTTGGGCATGAGCCTCTTTTGTCGTTTCTGTTTCTGCCAATGACTCAGGACTGGGGTATTTTACTTCAGATGCGTCTTTCCCTGAGTTTTTGTCTGTCTCCGTGACCACTTCTTCCTGTTGCTGTTGTGTTTCTGTTTCTGCTGTATGATCTGGGTCTGGTGCTTCAACACTGGTGTCAGTCTCTGAGCCCAGACTTGTCTCAGTTCTTGTTTCTGAGACGTCTGTGGCTGTGTCCACCTGCTTCTGTTGTACATTTTTAGTTTCTGTCTCCTCTGGTTTCATGCCAACCTGAGTCATCTGTTCCTCACTTGAGTCTACTCCTACTTGCATCTCTTTGTTGGCGTTTGTGTGAGAATCCCCATCTTTCTGTATCTCACTCTGATTTTCATCTACTGCAACTGTATGTTCACTTTCTGCCACTTTTACTTTTTTGGTCTCTTCATTTGTGTCTTTGACAAGAATTTCCTGGTCCTGCCCTTTGTGATCCTGCTGTTCCTCGACTTGTGAGTGAGTGGAGTCCAGCTTCTCTCCTTGTTCGTGCTGCAAACTATGTTCACTGGGTTGAAGAATATTTTCAACAGTCTGATCTTTGGCAGGATCTTGGTTTGATTCGGGCTCTATATTTGTTTCTTCTCTCACTTCTGAAAGCATTTTGGTGTTCTCTGCCTCTTTGAGTTGGCTCTCCTCCCTTTCCACTGAAAGGATTCTTGTTTCCATTTCTTCAGTCTGTTCTTTTACTATTTCTTCTATGTGCTCTGTTTTGTTTTGGATTTTGTCAGTTGTTTTAGGATCTTCTAAAAGTTCTTTCCCTTCAGTTTGTGGTGTTAGTTTGAACTCACTCTGGTTTTTTTGTTCCTCTGAAACTGTGTCCTCCTCTGAAACTATGTCCTCCTCCTCCTGAACACCCTGCACCTTCTTAAAATGAAAGTCATTCCAGCTTCTCCAGTCCTCCTTTGCTCCCATTGAAAGATGTCTCACGACTTTACCTCCACCTTCCCATTCACCTGTGTTAACTTTTCCCCCTTTCCTCCACTTTTTGTGAAGTAACGATGGAGACAGTGACAGAGTGGAGGCTGAGCGAGCAAGAGGGACAGACAGGTTCCCTTTCTCCCTCTCCTTCCTTTCCCATTCCTCCTTGTTATATTGAACCCTCGCCAACACCATCCGGTATCCCTGGCAACGACCTCTGGGGTCAAAGGTGGATGAGGGTTTGTCCTTCCTCCACTTTTTTAACTCCTTCGTCGTAAGCTTCTCCAGATCTCTGGCTGACAGTGGCACTGAGCACACCTGAAAAGGGAAAATAAGCACTGGTGTCACTTTTGTTTTAATGTCATTTTTAGAGTTCAGGGTGTTGATGGGTGACACATTAAAGGGAAAACCAACATGGAGTGCTGTGGCATTTGTAGTTGGGCCACCATAGGCTGGTTTAGTGCATTTTGACATAGATGTAGCAAGTGTCTAGAACTCTGTTACAGTAAAGGAACACTGTTTTTAGATATATTACCTCATTTAATGTGGTAGTGCAGTCTAACATTTTCTGTGCAGTAGTGAGTGGAGCTTGTGTTCAGTTTGTTTTATTAAACTAGATGTGATCATGTTTAAAACTTTTTTTTCCTGTAACATTTGTAAGGAAACTTACACTTTTCTTGAAGTGTGTGGTAGCTAGTAAACCAGAGTTCATAGTCTCAGCCTTCACCAGCAGTCATATGTTTTATCCTTACTTCTACTACGAAGATGTCATCTTCCTCTTGGACCTGCTCCCTGATGGCCCTCAGCTTCTCCAGTGTCTCCATCTGGCCTTGGCACTGCTTCCTCTGCTCAGCTCGACCCAGGACCCGACGCACCAGCACCACCGCCACCTGCAGTAGCACCCGCACCCCTGCATAAAAGAAAGCGTGGGGGAGGGGGTTGGGGTAAGAAAACCGTTTATCTTGTATGACCCTCAGCCTATATGAAGGATCTACCGTAGCAGAAAAACAGGTCCCAGACGCGGAGCAGAGTGTTGAATGGCAGGTGGCGCGTGAACAGACACATCAGCCAGTCAGTGGCGAACATGAGGGGCTCCACTCCGTGGTGCTGCAGGTGTTTGTATGCAGCTGGACATGTCGTTTTCAAAACCCGGGCCAGCAAGGCTGCATCAAACAGAACTCCCTCCTACACAACACAACACACACACACATCACTGTGCACATTAATGAAGTTGTTTCCTAAATCAGGACTAATCCATAGCACACATCATTAACCAGATCATTTTACTGGTCTACATGTTTGTGTTTGACAGGGTAAACAGTTGTCAGGTACATTTTGTGCATGTGTGGGAACATGCATGTCCTCACCAGAAGAGGGCTGTAGTATCCAGGCAGGTACTGCTCACTGATCTGCACCAAACACCAGAAGGCCTCCTGCCAGGTTACATAAGGTGAACATTAGGTGCCACAGTAGCTGAATTATTTTGGACATATACTGTACTAGCCTGTTACTACTAAGATCATTATACCTCTAAAACAGGGTCTGTGCTATGGGACTGCCACAGCGTTATAGATTCAGTATCTAAAAATGGATTTTTATTTCTCCACTTAAATCTAAATTTATGAAATGTTCCTGAGATGTGTTTTCAGCATCTTTATGTAAAAGAAAAGGGTAAACTTATTGATTTTTACCTCAACAGGCATGTTCATCAGCAGCACTGCAGCCACCGGTCCCTGCGCCTGGCAGTAACCCTCTTCCGGTTGATACTGAGTGTAGGCTTTCAACACCCGGAACAAGCCACGCTGTCTACACACAAACCAAGGCGTGATTATATTTAGATAAAAGTCACCTTTAACTAGAGATGTGAGTTTACAGAAAGAAAAATGATGACAAACGTTATTCAGATATCAGCTTGTCAGTACAAACTAAAAGAAGGAGAGATGTTACCTACCCATGTCCATCCTTTGAAAGGAACATCTCGTGGAAGGGGAATTGTCGGTCCAGGTCTCTCTCAATCACATCCACCCAGCTCTGCAGGGCAGGCTGTGAGTCCAGAGACTAGCACAGGCACAAAAGTGAAATTTGCCTTTAAAATATTAATCATGATGCTGCTAGTTCCATATCTATTGTATCAAGCAGTAAAACAGTTCATATACACCAGTGCAAGGGCCGAATTTACACTTAGTGCTGCAACTAACAGTTATAACTGAAATATTGTTTAGTTTATGGAAAGTGTATAGAAATTTTAGTACCACATGTCAGAAATTTGTGATAGCTGTCGATTACAGAATCTGGCAGCTGAAGTAATCAAGTACTCATCTCACCTTCAGCTTGTCAGAAATCAGAGAATAGTGATACTTGCTCTTAACAAGCTTAAAGAGTTCAAGGTGATGTGCTCTGTCATTACAAAAATGTTCAATTTACAGTGATAACTGGGAATTGTAGGAAAGTCTCCCATTTGCTGGCACCAAAAAATAAATGACATAAACCACTGACTGTAAGATTAAGGTCAGTTCATTTTCTCTTGAGCAGCTAATCAATTAATCCACACATTGTTTCAGCACAAGTTGTGTCTTTTGCAACAAGGCCACTGCACATAGCTAAATGCTACCAACCATGGCTGGTTTGAAAGCATTTACCACAGCGAGAGTGTTTGGTTTTCTTGCCTGGTAGAGGCTTGAGTTTTGTTTCATCTTGTCAGTAGCTCCACACAGCAGTGGCCAGCACTTAGCTCTGAGTGAAGCAGGGATACCTTTCTGACACTGCACTTTGACCTGAAGGCATATGAGTAACAGACAAACAATCTGTTCAGAGCAGTGACATGATTTTATATTTTCACTGTTGTCAGTATGATTACTTATAGGGTTCTTTCACAGCAAACACTTCAACTTGCACAGGTGTGACTGATAACACCAGTGGTGCTCTATTCTGTTCAATTGTCCCAGTAAACCAGCGGGATAGTGTGCCAGCATGAACGATACCAGAACCTTCGGGGTTGGCTTAAATGGAAGTCAGACAACGTTAATTTTATTATTCACTGTGCCTTTCTTACTGTACACATAATGACCTTTAAGATGGGACACACCTTACTGGGCTTCTTTAACAAGATGCGATCCCATTGGTGAATGATGTCAATCCATTTTGCCTCCCTCTGCCTGACCAGCTCAGGTGGTGGGCCCACATTCCTGGCACAAAACAGCAACAAAATACCATCTTTAAACATGAAATAACTGTATTTTCACAGTAATGAGAGCCTTTTATGTGTGTCATCTGTAGACTGTGCAGTATTGAGGCTCTCTCAGCAGCTATTTAAATGGACACCTTTAAGTCAGAGGTGCAGCAGTACTGCATGCACTTTTGTGTTGCCATTACAAAAAACAGCGCTGTGAACAACAAGACAGGAAACAGGAAAACCACACACGTTAGCAGTGTGAAGTCTCCATAGTAACAGGTCAGGATGTTATCAGGTCTTTTTTTGATTTCACTGCTACATCTACGGTCCACCACAGACATTTTAGAGTTACTGTGTAAATATAAAGTAAATTTAGAGTCAGTTGCTTATGAAATGTTTTGCTAATATTATTTGTGAGTAAGAAATGCTTGGTGTTCTCGTATGTAATTCCACTTTGAGCTCTTTTGGCACAGCTTTTACACATTTCTCAAGAATTATAAAAGGGTCTTGTAATGTTGCAGCAGGTTTTGTCTCTTCCTTTTTGAATTTTTTTGCCAAAATGCTTACTCTTGTTTGACACATGTTGTGCTGTATTAAGACTGACAGCTGACATAGCGTTTGAAGTGGGTTACACCCTGTATAGATCGCCAGTCTATCTCAAGGCTGACACTTATAGACAACCACACACATCCACTCTCACGCTTATGAACAATTGAGAGCCACCAGTCAACCTAAGCTGCATTTCTTTGGACTCTGTGTGTGTGTGTGTGTGTGTGTGTGTGGGGCTGGAGTTAAAACTGTGATATTTTATTCTCAAATAAATTCACGCTTATGAACAATTTAGAGCCACCAGTCAACCTAAGCTGCATTTCTTTGGACTCTCTCTCTCTCTCTCTGTGTGTGTGTGTGTGTGTGTGTGTGTGTGGGGCTGGAGTTAAAACTGTGATATTTTATTCTCAAATAAATGTTTTGGAATGTGCAGCTTTTCCTAATGACACCTGTTGACTAATTGTCTTGACTGCATTTTATTAATCAGATAGGTGCGATATTTTCCCAGTAGGATTTGTGTCTTTGATACAGATGCTGTTCTGTCTCAAAAGAGTTAGCTAAAAATATTGGTTTTCAGATGGTATGCACCATACCATCTACTTACTAGTGGGACATTTTTCAGGGATCAATTTGTTTTAAGTCATCTTTTGACATTTACAGGAAGAAATGGAAATATTTTAATTTTAAGTGCTTACAGGCCTCAAAACACAAACAGAAGTGATGACACAACATAGAGCAGTAGTAGAAATAAAAGTCCATGGTATTTATGTGGCAATAGATAGCATTTAATGTAATAATCAGACCAGAGCAGTAGAAAAATACATAAGTTTATTGTTGACTGAAATATATATTTTTATAAGGCCATTCTGTAATCTACCTTGAGACATTTTAGTAATCTGAGCACGGCATATGTTTGTCTGTCTACCATTTGGCCTTTTTTTTAAATAAAATGAGTCAAAGGTACTACAGTAACAGTAAGCCTACACAAGCACAAATGTGGAACTGCTCACCCAGTGGAGGATCCATTGGTCAGAATGAAGCCAAACCGATCTGTCTCAGGTTCCACACTAACCTCTGACCCGGCGTCAGATCCAGAGCTGTCCTCGTCACTGAGGTTTTTCTGGGTCGGACTTAACATTTTACTGAAAAAGAAGAGGAAGCTCTCGTTTTTTGTGTGTAGTCTAATGTCATGATTATGTGAAGCCAAATTGATGTTTCAGAGTTGTGTGACTTTACAATGTCTCCCACATGCAGAAATGTCAACGATGTTGAGTAATCTCAAAAAAAAAAAAAAAAAAAATCTAGCTTGTTGGTAACTAAGAATTGTTCTGCTGTAATTATTGCTATTTTTGTATTTGTACCACTTCCTTTATTTGATTCATGGTTAGGAGTTCTATTGTTTTTTAGTAGTAGTGTAAAGTCAAAGTCAGCTTCCCTGACCTTTACACCACGAGGACCTACATATATCCAAACCAAGAGTACAGCTATTAATTCACTTAAAATATGCATTTAAATGTGATTACCGTTTGCTTTTCCGTCATGTTTCGATCACTCGGTTACTGAAGAGGTGAAGTGTGAGATCTTCCAATGGTGAGAGTGGAAGACAAACTTCCTCCCCCTCTCTTGCTCATTTGCTCTCTCTCTCTCTCTCTCTCTCTCTCCCCCAGAGTATTACAAATGCGCAGTGTCACTTAAACCAACTTCCCTCTGAAAAGCAATGTAGATGTGCAAGTGACTATTTATGGTATATGATCCTTTTTAGCTGTCATGGAAGTGATACTCAGTTGCATAAATAAAATATCAAATATGCCACCAGAGTGAGTGCTCTGCTTTAAATGCTTCCTCTTGTATAAGTTTCTTGCTGCTTTTGATGGATGTAGGTAGTACCATGTTTATTTGAATACAGTGGAAAATATCAGCAAGAGTGAAACTGCTTTTGTGGTTTTCTCATGAAGAATGAAAATTAATGAAGAGCACTTGAATTTTGCATAAATACAATTCTGTAACATTAGTTCAGGCAATGTACGGTACATTCCCATACTGAGACTTGGGCACTGTGGTGTGGCCAGCTGTTTGGGGAATACTGGGGAAACACCCAAATGGTCTATGTCAGTGTGGTAATACAGAGATGGTTCTGAATATGTTTTCTTGTAATATTTATAGAAAAGAAAGACCACAATTAGGCTATTCAAGGACCTTTTAGATTTGGGTCTCTTCTCCTTAAGTCTGTTTTTTCACAACCCATTGTGAGAGCAGTCAAAGTATTTACATCCCACCGGATAAGCTATTCTTTGTTTGATAGAGGCTTTTTTCTTTTCACCTTTTGTCCCGTGGAGGGCAGCATTGCGCTTCATTGTGTACAGCCTGCCGAAAATCCAGTCGAAGAAGAAGAAGAAGGCAATGTACGTTCTTTGGTTCAAGGACTGATTTGCTGTTTGGATGTTGATGGTCACCAGAAATTTGTCATAGAGGTACGTTTAGCAGAAGATTGTTGTTAAGAGGAGCTGGTTACTGCTGTTGACTGTTTTAGACTTCGGAAATAAAACCATTTTGAGTCGCTTGAGCTTTTACTGGCTAAGCTACCCTAAAATTAACTAACGTTACCAAGTTAGCTATTAGAGCGACCTACCTATAGTGACAGCTATCAGGTCAAACATAATTTAGTTTTACGAATGTATGGTCTGAATAAATAAAATAATCAAATGAACGTTTTAAGGAAACTGATAACTAACTAACTAACACCAACGTTAACGTATAACCGCCCATGCTATTCCTACATAAATATCTAAGATAACATCCCAGGAACCAATTTATGCTAACGGTTGTTAGCAATGATGCATTCATATGAGTCGTACAGTCCGATAATTGGAACAACAGAGTTTCATATGTGGTGGAAAGTAGTATGACGTTACACTAATAAAGTAAGGTCACCTAATTAAAATAAGCCATACACCTTATAGTGTGTTTATATCTAATTTCATTTGTTAACAATCACAAATATTTGGCAACATAAAAATATCTATTCCGGTCACCTTTCTATTTTACTGTAACGTTATATGAAGAAGTAACTGTATTTTGACAGCTGATCTAACTTAGCAAGGAATCCTCCCGTAAACTGAATTTGTTACAGTTTTTCCCCATTCTTCCTGCATGCCTAGGCTGCTGTGAGTGCCCTCCATGATTCTCTCCTCTCTCTCTCCATGCATCTATATGGCACCATTATGCATCACTAACTGTCTCCTCTCTCCCGTAGTGTGTCCTCTCTCTCGCCCTGTACCTTTCTGCAGGTAGTCCTGGCTCTGGAGCTCTACATTTCTAATGAGCAGTCACTGGTCACATTAACCTGCCCAGTGTTTGTTTGTTGTGTCTTGTTGCTTTTCTTTTCTTTACTCTCTCTTCTATCCACTCACCCCAACCAGTCGAGGCAGAAGGCTGCCCACCAAGAGCCGGGGTCTGTTGGAGGTTTCTTCCCTTAAAGGGAATTTTTCATCCCCACTGTCACCAAGTGCTTGCTCAAGAGGGATTTGTCGGGTTTTTCCTCTATAATAATAATAATAATTATTAGGTCAAGACCTTACTTTGTATGTTAAGTGTCCTGAGACTGTTGTTGTGATTTGGCATTATACAAATAAAATTGAATTGAATATAGAAAACCATGACGTAATGGGGGAGATTTGAGGCAGGATCTTAGGATCTCAGCATTTTGACTCAGGTCTACCTCCATTGCTCACTCACTCCTCCATTATTTACAGAGTAGGACATTTTCTGGGTTGCAGCAGTAGAAGTTCCCTGGATGTACTGTGTGCATTTTAGTTCCTTTAATGAGTCTATTTCAGTTTTCTTTTTCCACTGTCTTCTTTGTTCAGATGTCTGCTGCACTGAGTCTTCGTGTTCTCCGATGCTACTCAAAGCAAGGTATGAAGCAAGTGGCATTAAAACAATAAAGTTTGAAAGCACAAAATGAAGTATTGTATTACATTATATGTATTTTTCCAGGCATTTTTGGATATGGTGCTGGTGTCATGCGGCCTTTTAGTCTCAGTGTGCAGAGAGAGGGCTATAGTAAGTACTGCTGCCAGTCGAGAGCTGTTCATGTACAGTATGTATGTATGACATTCTCAGCGGTGGAGCATGTGGCCACACTTTGGAATTATCTAATCATATACTCTTGTCTCTTTCTATGCTGCTTGCAGAATATGTAAATGCTCAGGAGATCCCAACAGACATGAAGTCAATCACTGACCGTGCTGCCACAACCCTCCTTTGGACTGAGCTCTTTAGAGGTGATTTCAGTGCAGACAGCCCATATAATCTGTAGGGTTACGTGATATTCCTAGTGGTAACTATTATTTTTTGTATTGTGAAGAATGTCCTCTCATGTAAAAATAAAAACCGACAGTTAATTTATTCTGTTAAAAAGTATTGACTGTGTAGCCAAAACCTTACACAACTCACTTTTCTGTGACTTACATCTATCCATCCATCCGATATCTATACCGCTTATTCCTGAATAGGTCATGGGGGGGCTGGATCCTATCCCAGCTGATATTGGGTGGGAGGTGGGGTACACCCTGGACAGGTTGCCAGTCTGTCACAGGGCTGACATGTAGAGAAACAACAACATGCACTTGAAACTCACTCCTACGGGCAATTTGGAGTCGTCAGTCAACCTAAGCCGCATGGCTTTGGACTGTAGGAGGAAGCCAGAGTACCCAGAGAGAACCCACTCATGCACAGGGAGAACATGCAAACTATGCACTTCATGACAAGGAACGCTATGGCAGGAGACCCCACTGCTGACACAGAAACATAAAAAAGCCAGAACGTACGTGAGGAAGCCACAATCCTTCTGGACAGATGAGACTGAAATACAGCTTTTTGGTAGAGAATATCATTCTACAGTTTTCAGAAAAGGAAATGAGGCCTTCAAAGAAAAGAATGCAGTCCCTACAGTCAAACATGGTGGAGGTTCACTGATGTTTTGGGCTTGCTTTTCTGCTTCAGGCTCTGGATGTCTTGACTGTGTATATGAAATTATGAAATCTGAAGACTACCAAATGTGTATTAATTCACTTTTGTTCTTTTCATGTGATTTCTTGGCAGTTTTGATATAGAGACAACTGAGAATAACATCAGCATTGCCATATAAGTGAGTCATAACTGTCTTTGGCTACCCCTGCCTCCAGGTTTGGCGATGACCCTAAGTTACTTGTTCCGTGAGCCTGCCACCATCAACTACCCATTTGAGAAGGGCCCTCTGTCACCTCGCTTCCGTGGAGAACACGCCCTTCGCCGCTACCCTAGTGGAGAGGAGCGCTGCATTGCCTGTAAGCTGTGTGAGGCTATCTGCCCTGCTCAGGTGAACAAAACCATACACACACATTTATTTGAATAAATCCAAGGATTTATTGGTGTTTTGAATAGTAAGGATTTAGAGGAAGCCATTTCACAGAAATACAGCTTGTAGTGCACTTTGTAGTTGACACATTTTTACTCTTCAGAACTGTCTTGCATTCTCAGCAGCTCTCTGGTGTTTTCACTCTACATTTTTGTCTTCTCTTTGTGTTGGTTTCTGTTATCCTGAGCTGTCCTCACTCTAGGGTGACCTTGTATATAAAGTTTTCTGAACAGTGTCCTCTAGCATCAAACAAAAATGCAGGATGGCTTGAGATCAAATCTTGGGGAAAAAATCTGAAACCGAAATCTTTTAAAAAATATCTAGGCAAACAAAATGTACTTTTATGCACAAAAGTCAAGAAAGCTATGTAGCTACCAAAGTGTGTGATATTTATGTTGCTAATACTGTTTATGCCATACTTATTGAACATCCTGAATTCTGTTGATGCTATAATTCCGCAGAAAAATCAATGTAACTTAGCCATGTACTCAGTTAATCTCTCACCTTGCTAGGGCTGTGAGTATGTTGAATTCCGTCTGTCCTCTCTGGCTCTGGTTTTGTTTATTCCCTTTCTTCCCTATGTTGAACCCAGGCCATTACCATTGAAGCTGAGACTCGAGCTGATGGCAGCAGGAGAACTACACGCTATGACATCGATATGACTAAGTGTATCTACTGTGGCTTCTGCCAGGAAGCTTGTCCTGTTGATGCCATTGTTGAGGTAGGAATAAGATTATAGTGTACTCTAGACTGAATAGGAGATTTTATGGAGTTGAACCATGGCGGCAGAATAAAACTGTATTAATGTCACTTTTCTATTGAATCATATTTAATAAAAGAATTCGTTAAAGTTTTGTGCCAGGGAACTTAAATAATAAGGAGATAAGTATCAGTTTCACATTTACATGCCTATTATTTATTACATCTCTGTACGCTCAAAGTGCTTGTTGGATCATTTAACTGCATCTGAAGCCTCCTTTCTGACAGCAGAAACTTGAAACATTTTTAAATCTGACAGTTATGCCCACTTGACATAGTGATTGGTGAGATGTATGGAAGTATGAACATGGGCAAGGTTTGAACTTCTCTACTTCATTCTTCACACAACTACTTGTGTCACTTTTTGAGGACAACTTTTCACCTCTAAAAGCAACATAATGAATCCCTCTTCTTTTTACCACACCATTGATTGTGGACATTTGGAACATTATTCACTTTAAACATTATTAGGCCGTCCCTGGTAGGCTAGTGGTTAAGGCGCAGCGCTCTCGCCACTGCGCCACAGGTTGCATCCGGCGTAAAACACGTGCCAAATGTCAACATGTGAGTCGTCAGTGTGACGATTCGCTGTGGCTCCCCCTAAACGGGAAAAGCCGAAAGTGTACAACACAACTTAGTGTACTGAAACCTTAACTAGAAGAAGAACTTGTCATTATGAGATGCAGTGTCAAATTATTGAACCATTATGGAATACTGAATCATGAATTTTGTTTTCAACTGCTACGGTCCTCTGTTTGTTTGAAGAATCAGTTAGGGCATGTGCTTTTACTGGAAAGATATTTATTGTTGTCAAACAGTGTATCTTACCCTCAATCCATCATCTTGACTATGAACATACAACTTCACGTCATCTGTGTACATTTAGACCTACAGACCTTTTAATCTCTGTTTTATCTAAATTTTTCCCTCAGGGTCCAAACTTTGAGTTTTCCACAGAGACCCACGAGGAGCTATTGTACAACAAGGAGAAGCTGCTCAACAATGGAGATAGATGGGAGGCTGAGATAGCAGCAAACATACAAGCAGACTACCTGTACAGATAGGCTGTGTCTGTACACTGTCTACAAATATATGCTATGTCACACATGAAAATGATATCTTATCTTCCTCCTGTACATTAAAGATATTACTTTACATATGAGGAGTGAAGCCCTGCAGGCTCAGATTCTGTTGTCAGAACTAGGAAACCATACAAATGTTGTCATTTACTGATTTTATAATCTGTAACCTACTGTATGCACGGTCTGACAGAGACAGTCTGACAAATATTGCTGATGTTATTTAAGTAAGTAAAATAAATCAAGTTTTCAAACCTTGACAGTTTACTGACTGTTGCATTAATATTGGTGCTGAAACACTTACGTAGCTGAAAGAATTATAAGTTGCCTAATTGCTAATAATTTTGCTATTTAATTATTAATAATCACCTTTATTTGGCCAAGTATGTTACACACAAGGAATATGTTTCCAGTACAGAACCAAGGGAGCCATCTGCGGTGCCAACTCACACCGATGGCTATAACCACTGGGGGCAACTTTGGGGTTCAGTGTCTTGCCCAAGGACACTTCGACATGTGGACTGCAGGCACCGTGATTCGAACCTCCAACCCTCCGGTTGGGCGATGGCTGCTCTACCCACTGAACCACAGTTGCCCACATAATCGCTTCATATGTCAAGCTAGAAAAAAAAAGTGTTTAAAAACATTGGACTGAGAATTTTGACAATCAGGTTTCACTATTATATTTAGAGAAAAAAAAACAACTTTATTAATCCCACAGGGAGATTAGGTTGTACAGCAGCCACTATATAAAAGGAGGTATGCCAGTGAGGTAATATGTAGTAGGCTATTTATGCACTGTACAATGTCAAAGGTCAAAGTGTTTATTTGTCATATGCACAGTTAGGAAACATGTTTCCCTGTACAATGAAATTCTTACTTTGCCTTCCACATGAATGCCACAAAATACAAGTGAAATATAAAGTAGATGAGCAATAACACAAATCTAAATAGGCAGTAAAATCACAAATCTAAGGCACTTTAAAGCAGCAAGTGAAGGGAGCAAGCCGTGGAGTGTAAATACTCAGCAGTGAGTGTGCAATTATGCATGTGCAAACTGAGTATGTAAACAGTACAGATGGAATTATATGGGGTAGATTCTGAGTCAGCTGTTTAGGAGTCTGATGGCAATCAAAGTCTAGAAGTCCTGCATTTCACACTCTTGAGCCTCCGACTGGAGGGTAGGGGTAAAAACAGTCCGTGATAGGGGTGGGTGCGGTCCTTGAGGATGCAGGCAGCTTTCCTATGCACCCTGCGGTGGTAAATGCTCTGCAGAGAGGGCAGTGGAGTCCTGGTGATCTTCTCCACAGTCTTTACCACTCTCTGC